AACAAGTGTCGAAATGTGTAAAGAAAGAGCTATAAGCAATAAAGACAATTATACCTAAACGATTTGCATATTAAATAGAAAAAGTCTAAAGTAAAGGTTTTAATGTTTCTCGCATTTTACTAATTTAAGACATCTTATATGTCATAGTAACATTAACAACACAATAAGTGTCTGAATAAAAATAATGAAAATTTTATTTTTCAAAACGTCTGAGTTGTAAGTGCGAAATTAGAACTTGTGTGAATGTATTTTTCTTCACACTAAATTCGATGACGCGATTCCTTAAAAAAACATCTTCATATGTTTTATAATTTAAGACTTTCCCGTACTGACCATTCTAAGGCCTGGTTCATTGCGACGCGAATGACCTAGGCGGATTTCCGTTGCGGACGGTAAAATATACATATGTTTCAGATACAGTCCGTTCAATGCGTTGCATATCTGGAGTAGAGCGAATCCACTAATCCGTAGCGGATAATCCGCGCCTAAATGTTACACCCCCTATACGGTTTGAAATTTTAGAGTTTACATGCATTTTATGTTTCATGCGGTTTTGTGTACCTCGTGTATGTGTCCCAACACTTCTGCTCTTGTCATATCCTCCAATCTCGTTTCATTCACATCCATTATTTCGTCAGCTAATTCCAAATTGTCCAAATTTCCCGCCGATGGTGATCCTGAAAATTTAATGCGTTTTAATTTTACAAAATTAAATTACATTGCTATGATCAAATTTTCCTGCCATTAAGAAAATTATAGTTTCCCTGAATTTCTAAAATAAGTTGATACGTTGAATGTATATGTATCTACAATATAATTTAATAGTGAGTTCGGTGAACTTTGTTCCGCCCAAGAAATTTGAATGTAAAAATATATAAACTTCTTGGTTCCTTCTAACAGTCAATGAATAAGCACAGCTAATTTGGGAATACGTGATAATTTAAACCATAGACGTAGACCACATTACGTGAACTGTTAGTTGCGTTTTATTATGACAAATTTAATATAATATTTTTGATAAAATATAATATTTTAATACTTATTCCTATTCCCAGCGAAACCAAAGCCAAAAACACAAATATCATAAAAAACGCTCTCGCCGTTCTCGAGTTATAAATTATGTTCTAAAATAATACCTATATAGATGAATGCTATAGTTTCTAAAACATATTTGCTCCAAAAAATAATTCTGATTATCCGAATTTGTACTTTTTAGTTACTGGAAATTTTCCAACACTATTTAAATATTCATCAAAAAGACCTAAAAAGAGTTCAAAGCACCAGTTTATTTTTTAAAGTAAGTAATTATTTATATATAAAAGCTATTATAAATATTAATTAGGTCAAGATTCATTAACTATAATACCAAATTTTATTATTTAAAAATACCAGATTAACTCAGAATTTACGTGTCGAAAAATTATATAAAATATAGGTATGCGACACAAGTTTTGATTTAATTTCTCTTGAAATAGGTGTAGGTAGGTATAAAAACCATAAAAATAAAAATGTTAAGTTTTTTTTAAAGCTCGAACATTTTCAAAAATATAGTGGTACTTTTGGCATTAGGGTATTTATTTATTTATATTATAATCAATTGTTACTATACGATTATATACTTATTATAATTACGATACAGACATCTTAGTGAATCTTTTTAATTAAAACTTTATCTCTTCGTTATAAATTTATGGAAAAATTTAAAAACGATTAATTAAAATTAGGAAAGTGTACTCAATATTTAATAAGTACACATCGAATTATTAATTTTTAAGATGTGCTGGTAAGGTAAAAGGTAAATTAAGAGGCGGCAAGCCGAGCTTACAAATTTGCTAAAGGCAAGAGCATTGAGAAGATAGATAGTTTTTTAAAAGGTGAATAGATGTATTAAGGTACTCACCATATAATTTCACTTTATTATCTTTTGTTTGTACAACTATGATTACATATCCTTCTAAGTCAACTGATTTACATTTGACAGTTGTCATTTTATCAATTGCATTGATTTGCGTCGTTGGTGCGTTGAAAGTATTCATTTTTGTTGATTAATCTTAACTTGATAATAATCTAAATACAGAATCAGCTAAGAAAAAACACTTATCGAACATAATTCACTCAAAGAGACTCCATTTTTCTTCAGTCCCGGCCAGCGCTTTCTCCAGCACCATTTGAGGCAAAAATTATTCTTCAAAATACTGCTGAAACGACACATTTTGTATAACAATAAACACATAATCTTGATATTAACCAGGAGATAACAAATCGGCCATAGTCACTGCACTTCAACACTTAGGAAAAACGAATGAAGAAACCGAAAGACATTGGCATTAATCGATTGTTATCACAACTTAACGGTTTTTTTATTTACAGTTTTTTTGTTTTAAGCATATTATGGAAGCATTTAGGGAATTTTTTAAGCGATGTCACTATCTCATGTCACATTTTTGCAGTGTTTAATATTCGCGGGGGAATTGCAGTTTTTTTTCAATGGTGCGTCGAGTATACCGGAATTTTATACTGTTGTTCGTTTAGAGGGCGACGAGAATGTATTTTTTTGGTTTATTAAATAGTGTTTAAGGCGTTTAAGAGTGTTTTCAAAATTGAAATGCCGTCCCTCGTCCGCGGGCTGGGTGTTCGCCGCGAATGGATACGACCATCGCCTTTTCGCCCGATCAATAATGCTCCCTACCCAGCATCCCTTCAAACTCCCACAGACTAGCGCTCTTAACTTAGTTTTTCGCATTTCTATTGGATAAATTTGTGCTAAAATAATAATACAATTTCATTTGTTTGTAAAATATTTATAAATTTAAAGAAAATAACACAAAAAGTACAAAAAAAGAGAGTTTGCAGGTCCCACCGAGATTTGAACTCGGATCGCTGGATTCAAAGTCCAGAGTGCTAACCATTACACCATGGGACCGCTTAAAGAACATTTTGAAATAACGGTATACTTTCTTGTCATAAATATAAATAAATTGTTATTCTTTTTTTTATTTATCACTTCTTTTAAAAAATCTAGCACACTATTGAATTTAATAAAACATTATAATCGAACTTGTTTAATATGTAAAAGACGAAATGTTGTTACAAGCAATAAGTACCCCCACGGATCAGAAAGATGGCGGTGTCATGTTTGTGTACACAACGCCATCTATCAGATAAGTCGAACTCTAACTACTGAAGAAGCTGTATAGCCAGCTTAAAAATAAATAATAATTTCAGAATATTGTTCTCAATCTTTGTTAAAAAAACAAATGTAAATTTTGATCATATAGGTTGTTATGCCAATGTTATTAATATTTATTGACAAAAATTTATATGAACGCTAATATTACAATTTTTATTTTGGCAACTGCTTAATTCAAGATGTGACAAAAACCTTGCACAAATACACTTCAAGAAAAAAATGAAATGTATCCTTAAGATGAAAGACATGTATCTTTTAATGAGCTTACAATCAATTGCACATACAAATATTACTGCTCAGCAAAATCGGTTTATTAACGATTATAAGCTTTAATTAATATTCTAAATTTGAAAATTTATATCGGTCATATCGCTTTAAATTCATTAAAAAAAATTATGGATGTTTTTGCTGGGTTATTCATTTTTTTTTCTAATTAGGTTAAACAAGAAAGGATAAATCCATTTATTTCACTTTTTGATAAGAGTTAAATCTGTCACGATAGACCAGCTTGCTAGAGCACTCGTTTCATTTATACTTCACAGTATTCGTTTTCTTGTCTATAAATTACTCAATAAAAATAAAAAATAAAATGTTTATATTGATGTCAATTCTGTTTTGTAACTCTCTAAATGCAATACTTTTCAATTTTGGTTTTGTTCTAGGGCTGTTATGTTGTCAGGCATGTCTATTCTAAAACACAGGCTTACCATCTTAGGGCTTTTAGCCCCAAATTTAGGGCGGAAATAATACTGCTAAAACGTATTAATATTCTTCATTTTCACGCTATAATACTAAAATAAAAGATATCCTGTGTAAACGCTATATGTAAAAAAGAAGGGTCCTTTTAGCCTGGATTCGATGCCGTTCTGATTTTGTGGGCAAAAAGATAGTTGAAATAATAGCAAAAGAAGCAGATAATATCAGTAACTTTTGCAAGTTTATTGTAGTGGAATGCACAATGGGAAGTATCATGAAATAATGTAGGAAAATATTACGTCGATATACAAAATACCATCCTTCCTAAACTACGGTTAGTTTAAACATGCATCTACGTCTTGCATGTAGTAAACCGTATATGGCATGTAAGGTGATGTGTGTTGTCAATAAAAACATCTTCTATTCTATTTACGTCAACTACCTGACGACTTCTATCAAGGTTCGAATAATTATAGGGTACTTATATGGTAAAATCAGCATAATAAAATTAACTGGGATTCATTTTCAGTGCAAATTTTTATTTTATTTTCCGTGTAAAGCGTCACAAGCGGAAAAAGGAAAATAAAAGTTCATAGTACATACAGCAGCGTGTTATGTTACCACAATATTCTTAATTGTAAACTTTTACTATATATATTTTAAAGATAGCGAAATATATACATGTAAATGTAGCTCACATTAGATGATATGATTTATATCACTCACTATATTACACGGACTTCACTACTCAAGCAAGTGACTGACAGACAGTTTGTTACTGACTTCGCTGTGATATGGTTGTCATTTCGTCACTCTATCGATTATCATGATAGATGAATGAGAAATAATTATCTTTGTTGCAGCGAAGATCAAACATACAAAAAACGAAACTTGTTGTCGCGAGTGTTCCCCCTAAGTGTTGTAATTTAACGAAGTATAAACTTCAATACAACATCGCCATGATCGATGAGAGAAACAAAGATGGCGGAATAATACGGTGATCATAACCAAACGCGTTCCTGTGTAGCGTTATGTACGGTGGTGGGTGGAGGCTACAGCAGTGTCGAGGCTCTTGAACGAGGAGGAGAGGAGCGATGGGGGCGCGGCCGGGGTGATGCCGCCGCGGCCTGCGGCCGGCCGCGCGGCCATGGCGGCCGAAGACGAGCGGCCGCCGTTTGCTCTGTTTACAGCTGTGTACGACTATGTTGCGCAAGGAGAGGATGAGCTCTCCTTACGTCGAGGTGAAATTGTGGAAGTGCTCTCTAAAGATGCGAATATCTCCGGCGACGAGGGCTGGTGGACCGGGAAGATCGGTGATCGTGTGGGGATCTTTCCTGCAGTGTACGTGACGGAGGAAGATCCCCTTGCCGTTGAGCCACCACGAGTGTCTTTCAGTGAGCTTAAGCTTGAAGAAGTTATCGGTGTAGGTGGCTTCGGTAAAGTGTACCGCGGTTATTGGAATGATGAAGTCGTGGCGGTCAAAGCAGCTAGACAGGACGCTAACGAGGACATCGAAGTTATCAAGGAAAGTGTTCTACAAGAAGCAAGATTGTTTTGGGTGTTACAACATGAAAATATAGTGTCATTAAAAGGTGTCTGTTTAGAGGAACCAAATTTGTGTTTGGTGATGGAATATGCTCGTGGTGGTCCTTTGAACCGAGTGTTATCTGGGCGAAAAATAAGACCAGGTATATTGGTAGACTGGGCGATACAAGTGGCTCAAGGCATGGCATATCTTCATGTGGGAGCCCCTATGTCACTTATACATAGGGATCTAAAAAGTTCTAATGGTGAGTGGTTGTCATAAGTCATGAAATAAGCAATATCTAATAGGTTACTTAAAAGTTATTTCTTTTCTATGATCTGTTATTTCCTTTACCTTGTCATTGAATGGACATATTGCAGTTTTGATTTGTAGTATTTAACTAAAGCTACAACAAAATATAAATTGCCCTAAACTGGCAATTTATATTTTGTTGTAGCAGGCATGGTTGATACTATAAACTTTATTCACAAATTACCAGAATTAATTTCATTTATAGGTAGGTAGGTTTTGATGTTAAATAACATTGTTGATATGGGCAATAACTTCTTGTCGAAAAACAATGCATTATAACAAACTTTATAACTAAAAGAATTACTACCTATACCTTATTTATTTTGCATTCACAATGGTGTGTTGATATTTATGTTAATTAAGAATACTTAGTTTGATTTGTAAAGAGCTACCACCCGGATTGAAATCTCATCTCGTACATCTATTTTAAGCTTTTTTTCTTTAAGATAAATAATAATACAACTGTGAATGAAAAATTTGATGAAATTATACTTAATAGCTGACAGAGTGAGCTCTTGAAAAATTCATCAGTTCCACTGGATCTCAACCCAATTCTGGAAGTTTATGGGTTTCAAATTTGATCTTGCTCAACTGAGTCTTTTTAAATGATGATAATGCAGGTGTAATTTAATCTGCATTTTTATTTTAAAATTATAAGTACAGTCATCGGCCATAGGTTTTTGATAACAGTTGTGACTGCCTAAATCTCTGAAATTGCACACAATGGTGTTAGTGATACATACATTGATACAAATATCAAGATTCTACCTATTAGTATTCAAAATACAGCACTTGCATATAGAGACATTTAAGATTTTTTTTTTAAAACAAATCTAGGTCATCCATTTTTCAATCAAATATATTCTTTAGTCCCATCTTTAAATTTTCACATACGTAACACTTACACAATATATTGTTGAACCCACAACACTTTTTTGTTATTGTAACGCCTACATACATAGTTTCTCCCAAAATGAAATAACATTATGAGTTGATGAAAGCCTTAATACCTGACAATGTATGTTTATTAGTAAATAAAAAGTGTTTTGTTTTTGTGTAAATTGCAGGGTTTGATAGTCAAGCAAAGTTTATTTACTTATAATTCATATGAATATTCAAAAATTTAAATTTCTCAGAGCCTCATAAAGCCCTAAAATTTGTTTTGTCTTAATAAAATCTCAAAGCACATTTTATAATTTAGCATCTACACTCTATTTTGATAGCCCTCCACATCTATCGAAAATAACTAACCATTTGTTTTTTAAAATGTTTTTTTACCCACTGTAGAGTTTAGCAGAAGACCCATCACTGTTTAACAGAAGTATGAGTTAGTATGTGACTGACCATTCATCTAAGTGTGCAACATTGAATATCAAATCATATATTAGGTAAAAGTATTCTTGTGTTCCATGACTAATACATATGTTTAATTACTATTATTTGATCCATTTTCTACTCAAAATGCTGTATGGATTAACAACAAAGTTCTTAATTATAAAGTTAATTATTTTTATGGATAATTATTAGGATAATTATCTTAATTATAACGATAACTAAAGGCATTCAGAGTAGGGGACCACATAGCAATTAAATAAAATATTTAATTGAATTTATGTTATATTTAATTGAATTGTAAAAATTCATAAAGTTGAAAGATTATTCGCCCAACATTTTTACTAAATAACAATTATTTATATTTTAAAAATATTTGTAATATGTGGCTCACATCAAATGAAACACGAATCAGAGTGTGTGACATATATGGGTAAATTGGTAGTAAACCTCTCCAGGAAAAGCACAGGAAACATTCAAATGGCAAAATAATCTTAATTATTTATTTGATTTTATCAGGCCCAAGGGGCTAGTTTACTGTTTTATTTATTTATGAATTTAAATATCGCTTTTGTTTTCCCCACAAATAACGTCACAACCATTTATGCAGTTTTTTTAAATGGTTAAAATTTCAACATAGTCTATCACCATAATTATTAATTCAAAACACTTTTTATAAAAGATTTCCGATCCCCTATTAAATCAACATTTATTTTCTCTTAAATTTTTTTGTGTTCTTGTTACACCCTAGACAATTTTTTCTATCAGAATAACCATATTTGATAGTTTGTTTAAAATAATTAAAGAATAATTTTATCATATCAGGACTTGTTATTAAAGAATAATAAGTCCTAAATTACAAAAAGAAAGTGTGTAGTCTTATAATTACCAAGGTACATTTATCATGATAATTATCATATTAACAATAACCAGGAAAGCACTTAAATATTTTTTTACAATTTTTCTGAAGATAGACATTTCCAATTTTCATTGGGAAGTTGGGCTTCTATTTATTGAAATTATTATTTGCTGGATGTGATCTGGAGGGAGAATGATGAATCAAAAAAAAAAGAAACTTTGTCAGATGAACCGTTACTTTTTTGAAAAATTGTTGTATCTGTGCTTTTTGCATGCATCATGAACCTGCTGTGTAGTTAATGGCAAAAATAGTATCAATGTGGAGAAGATATCTCTATCAAATATTAAATTAAATTTCCCAGAATTTGCTTTGCCATATTAATGATATTTTGCATATTTGCTGCATATAAGCAAATTTGCAGCCCTCAATATTTTGTAACAAAAAAGCACATATATGTTTTTGCTATTGTTTTCTAGATTCTTATATTTCCAAGAATAGAACTGAAATAAAAATATCCATAATTAATTTACTTTTATTTAAAATTACAATATAAATAGTAAAGTTTTTTTATTCTATATAGGCAACAAAACAATTAACATAACCATAACTAATAAATTATGTATGTCACAAACAACTTTACCTAATCATTTTTACATCTTAAATTGTTTAGCCAAAACTGATTATTCATTTTTATGTTTGTTTGTTAGTGGAAAGCAGTGTGGTGTGCGATTGCTTGAAATCAAGTTTTTATAATTAGGCAATTTGGATGTTTAAATGAAAATACAAGAAAAATTTGTATTATCAACAATACTACATTCATAAAAGATCATCTGCAATATACTAGGTTGGGAAAAAAGTTTTATCGCGCCTAGTGTTCATAAACTTGTAATTAAGTCTTTCTGGCTGTACTTTTTGTATCTGGAGGGTTTTGGTATCATTAAAATGTTAAAATTTTCATATGTTTTTCTAACTGTCAAAATGAGTGAATCTAATGAAGAAATTCGATACATTTAAAAATTTTATTACAAAAAAGGTAAAATGCAATGCAAACCGGGAAGAATAATTTATGACGTTTGTGGACCTAGAGCAGTTTCTGTGAGAGTAGCACAGATTTGGTTTTCAGTCCGGAAATTTTGATGTCAAATATGCACGTCGCTTCGGTAGATCTGTTACGGATAAATGGACGCCACTATTCAAAAAGTGAGGAAAGATCGGCATTTCAGTAGTTACGACGTAGCTGAAGTACTGAGGATTGACCACAAATGAGTTTTGGCGCATTTGAAAAAAGCTGTGTACACAAAAAAGTTGGATATTTGGATACCTCACGAGCTCACTGAAAGAAACCTTATGAACCGTGTACTCATTTGTAATTTTTTATTACGGCGTAATGAAACCGAACCAACCAAGAAGCTGATAACTGGTGACGAAAAGTGGATCACGTGTAACAAAAACGTGCGAAAAAGGTCGTGGTCAAAGGTCGATCAGGCTTTACTGACTGTTACGAAACCCGGGTTAACTCGCAGCGAGGTGATGCTGGTGGAATATGGTGGGATTGGAAGGGCATTATTTATTATAACCTGTTACTGCCAGGCATGACCATCGATTCTGAACTACTGATGAGATGAAAGCTCGAAGTTGAGAAAAAGCGGCCAGAATTAATCAATAGAAGGGGGTGTGGTTTCTCAGCATGATAACGCTAGACCTCTTACATTTTGCCACTTAGCAAAAATTAGGCGAGTTTTGCTGGAGGTGTAAATAATGCATCTGCCGTATAGTCCTGACCTTGCATCTTCAGATTTCCACCTGTTCTTTTGCGAATTCTTTAGGCAGTGTCAGGTTAACATCACGCGAGGACTGCCAAAACCACTTGTCGTGGTTTTTTAGTCAGAAGCCCCAAAATTTCTATAGCAATAACAAGACGACAAAAAGTTATCGACCAAAATGGTACCTACATACTTTAGTTAAATGTAAATAATCTTTTTAACTTCCCCAAGCGTTTCCCCAATATGAAATGCGTTTTTAGATATTTGTTTATTTCTGGCTATTTGTTAATATTGTTTGTATTTATGTAACGCTTTGTTTATAACTTATGATAAGTAAGTAACGACAGATCTGCGAATTCTCGGTCCTTAAAAAAGTTATTAAAAGGGTCCTTAAAAATATATTATAAGGGATCTTAACACATTTGTTGTAAAAATAAATTTTGCGTCTGAAACGTTATTTATAAGCGCCAATATAACTTGTAGCCATCGCATCCACTACGCCATCGCATCGACTGCCACTACGGAATAAAGTAGCCATTCAACGAACAGTTGATACGTTACACTTTTTTTTTACTTGCCATACTGTTTACTAGTGTCAACGTCAACCTTGGAGAAGTTTGTACCACAGTATGTAACATGAGAAGGAACTTTCACGAGTATGATACAAACGATCTGCCATGTGATGCCTGCCTTTGTTCTGTGCACGCGCCTGTTGATCGCTACTCATGTAAACTCTGTTATTGTTACAGCGTGAATTGAATGGTGCAATAAAAATTTACACTTTTAAGGTACAAATTGATAAATCCAAACACGCTGTTGAACGAGCTGTATTAAAATTATTTATTGTGCTTAACATATTATATCATTGAAACGTGTTAATTCATTCAATTGGGTACTTACTGTTTTCCAGCGCCCGCGTAATTTATAACCTATAGCAGCCGCCCTGATATGGATTCCCGTAAGAAAAAGAATTTTCATAATCGGATCAGCATTTAAAAC